TCTTGTCTTTGACTCTGCTCGGAACATCCCAATCTTCCTTCCACTCTTTCATCCAACTGAGCAGCCATGAGACAGCAACCCAAATAGGTGCTGTGCATGGTTAACGGATGTAAAAAAAATTGACTTGAACTGCTATGACCAGTGGAGCTGTGCAATGCCAGAGTTCTCCACGTAGCGGCTTTTGTAATTACACTATTCCAAATAGGATGATACAAAATTTTTCCGACTTAACGCCTTGCAGATTGGGAATCTCTGTCACATATACACCCTGCGAGCACTTTCCTTCAGTTTTGCTCTGATTGGAGCTCACCTGGACAGCGTTGGATAACAGATAGACAAGGGAGAAGGACTCACCGGAATATCTCATCCAAAGATGATGGATTGGATATTGTTGCACGTCGGTGAGGAGCTCCGACAAAAGGTGAAACACAAATTAAATCCTCCGCGGTTTCATTCATCGGAGTCGGGGTACTCTGGGCACATACGGGGCTGGAAGTCACAAACGGAGTGGATGGGACTGAGGATCGGGTGAATGGAATGGTTGTAAACTGGCCTCGGTGAGGAATTACTTCCTGCGGTTGATCCAGTAGCGATCTGGCTTTGGCGTACAAATCCCGGCGATGTAGAAATGTCTGTGAATGGANGGGAGGAGAGTTAGTAACTGAGTAGCCGTTAGTAACAACTGAACATGCGAGGCCATCTCTTTCTCTGTTCTGTTTGTATTTATATAGAGTGATCACATGTCCGTATTTCAGTCAAAAATTACACATCTCGTCAAAAGAAGGAAATAATATAAGTAAACATATTGAAGTATTGTGAACTGACGGAAGATAATGGGAAAGTTGCAATGTGGTGGCGAGATGGTTTAGCCGCTGTCACCAGCGTGTTTTGGACCCTAAGGTGATAGGTAGCTTTGCTGTCGTCCGTTTAAAAATCACCCCTAACCGAAAGGGGCCTTGTGTGGTTCGCCACTCCAAGTCGAGAGGCTCCGGTTACTAGTTTTCATCACTGAACAGCAGGTCCTCGTGACTATGAGGTCCAACTTGTCTGCTGTTTATCACACTAAGGTGTGTAATAAAAAATTAAAAAAAGTGAAACGTTAGCAACTGTGTATTTTTATTTTATTTTCACACATTTGAATTTGACTTGTGTGCCAAACAAATCATGGTACGATAACCTTTAGGAAAAAGAAGGATGTTCCATGATTTCCTATAGCCGGGTTGATTTTCCGCTGGTAGTCAACCTAGGGGAGTTGGTCAAAAACCCTGATTTCAAACCAACCAAGAAGAGGCGTACGAACCACACCTTCCCTGTTGTGGTCACCGACACGATTGGGCATTGCGATGTGTTGTAATGTTGTTTGAATTGATCGTTTTGTTTTACCGCATTAATTGCATTTTTATGATTGGTCAGTACAAGACTTTAATTTTGCCGACCTGAACAATCTGATTGGTTCAGGTTTATATATAAACGCCAATGATTCCCTTCCCAAATGCGATTTGTGTCCAGTGGACTAGAGAAAATATATTGAGAGCATTTCCTGAAGAACCGAATTTTGACATGGTAGCAGCGGAAAATGATGCGAAATTCCCAATATCGGAGAGAATGAATAGTCGACTGCAGGTCCAACCGCCGGCGTACCTGAATATGGAGGAGACGGGGCGATTGGCTGATAACTGGAATCTGTGGCGAACACAGTATGGAGACTTTCGTACACTGACAGAGATGGACCGCGAATCCAGTCCGGTACAATTGGCCTTGTTCCGTCACACGATTGGTCCGAACGCTCTGCGTGTCATAAATGGATTCACGTACAGTCCGGATAAAGACCATGCAGGTTGGCAGGTGGTGATGGCGAAGATAGAGCGCTACTGTCTTGGCGAATCTAACGGGACTTATGAACCATACATTTTCAACCAGAGGAAACAGCAACATGGCGAGTCCCTCAACACATTCGTCCTAGCGCTAAAATACCTGGCTCGTTCGTGCAATTTCTGCGCATGTCTGGAAGAGAGTCTAATAAGGGACCGAAT